CGGCTATTTTTTGGTTGCAGCCGTCATTGTTGTTTGGCGGTCCGGGCTGGGGATTCGAACCCGCCACCTTAGGTGTACGTGGCTGGCGCCTTAGCTAGTTGAGCTATAGGCGCGGAGCCAGTATTATTATTATTATTCCTTTTTGGGGGGTGGAGTGGAAGAGAATGATTACTTCTAGTCTCTCATTTTTCCTTATGTTTGGATTTTTAATATATTGATCCACATTTCTTTGGCATCTCTCGGCCCCATTCCCACTCTACTGCCTCTCGTGTAAATTACTATGGCACAGAGGAGCAACTTTTGGTTTACCTGGATTGTAGTTGCTGACCTCAAGACCTTTCGAGAATGTTTAATTTCAGTGGGATACGCTTGGATGCCTCAGAAGAGCATTACAATACATTTTAAAAATATCACACCCACAGAAATTCTATTCTGCCCACAAAATTTGCATCAATCTAGTTCCCACTCTCTGATGCTATTCCTAGTGATCCTCCTGCCTGCGCCTTCCATTTTGGTAGAACTCAGGTCTGTGTCCTGGTGCGTCTAAATTGGCCATGATGATTCTTGGACTTGACACTGAGGGATTCTGATACAGTAGGTCTGAGTGTCCATATTTCTCAGGGTTTACAAGTGATTGTGACAGAGTAGCGGGGACCCACCGATTGAGTACATTTTTGCCATTATCTGTGCCTTCAGGTGGTTTCTTTCTTTCTAAATTTTAGTCATTTCTATAACAAATCTAACTTAGCCATTCCAGTATTTAATGATTCTAACACTAAAGGAGTTTTAAAGTTGCTAACATAAAAGCTATGGAATATGTCATTTCTTTTGTTCATTTGGGCACAGTGAGTCTCCATTATCTCTTTAGAAGGGCTTCATAATATTTGAATGATACTATACCTCCCACCCCACCTTTTCTTCTGTTATCTCTTTTTCCTTAGGCATTATTCATATGTATCTTTGAACTCTTCATTTGTCTGTTATGGTTTTAGAGTAAAACACTCCAAAGGTGTGACTTGAAAGATAACATAATAAGAAATATTTGGTCCGGTGAGGTGGCTCAGAGTACCTGGTTCATTCCTGTAACAATTTGAGAGACCAGAGCGGGAGGATTGCCTGAGGCCAGGAGTACAAGACCAGCCTGAGCAAGAGTGACACCCTGTCTCTTCAAAAAATAGGAAAATTAGCCAGGTGGGGAAGTGTGTACCTGTCGCTGGTCCCACCTGCTCAGGAGGCTGAGGCAGGAGGGTTGCTTGAAATCAAAAGATTTTCTTTTCTTCTACTTTTCTTTCCTCATCAGTCTACCATGTGTCCACTATTTTGTAGAAATAACTCAACAAGGAGCCAGAAGGCCAGAATTCTCCTACAGGTCTGTTATTAATTGATCTTGTGACCTTGTGGGACAGTGTTTTGGTCCTTTACTTTCTCATGTACCTTGTCTGTGGTCACAAAGCTGATCAGAGTTGAGATGAGAATTCCTCTCTCGGATCCTCAGTCCAGTGCCTTACCACTCTTCACAGTTTCCATCTCATGTACAAACGAGCTTATGTACACAGAACACCTATAACATCCTCAAGTGGTTATTGTTAATGTGTGCATGAGGAAAAGAATTGTATCTTTTAATTTGTGTGTTTAATCTAATGCCCACACCTCTACGCCTATACCTGGCATGGTGCCTTGACATCTAAAAGGCACTCCATAAATATTTGTTCAATTGAACAATTACTTTTAGACTAGTATAGTACTCCCAGACATTTTTAAAGTACTATCTTCAAGAGTCATTTCTTACCTTACATTTGGGGAAAAAAACAAATTTTTCCCATCCCCACAACTTTCATTTAAACTTGCCACTTTGAATTTCTTTGTGTGTGTGGGTTCTTTCTTTCTTTTTTGTTTTTTGATCACTTCTGCAATTTATAAAGGTCACTTTGACTTTGGAATCTAACTTCAAAGGTGCTGGCATCCACCCCCTGCCTCTCACTCAGATTTGCCCCACTGCTTCCTGTATTACTGTATTACTAGGCCAGAAATTTTTATCATTGTGTTTATAGTTGCCACATCTTATTGTACCTTTGTCATTTTGGGGACTAGTTGTTTTTAGAATACTCTTTTACAAATTAGAGTTAATAAAATTTATGTTTGTTTTGATAAACTTTTTTGAGATTTTTCATCTTGGGCTAGACATTGGAAACTCATACTAGACTGAGAGAATGTGAACACTGAGTAAAGTGTATTTGTTTTTTTCCCACCAAGAAAGTTCCCCAAACACCCTACCAATAAAAACTAAAGGTAAGGTATGATAAATGAATATCTGAGAGAAC